TTAATTATCACTGTAAAATATATAAGGAAGTTCTTGAAAATAACATAATGAATTTGATATATTTTTCATTGTTACTACTTTATATATTAGCTTTAATTTACGGATATTTATTTTCCCACCATAAGGGCAATTTGGTGACTAACACTGGAAAGTAATTAGACTCATAAAAAGATTTAACTCGGCCAGAAAAGAAATACATTTGAAACAAAGAAGGTCCTATGGAAATGCTAGTTAAGTTTATGATTGATGATGAAGCATCATGATAGGAACATTTAAAGATTTATATGAAGATCGTCTTATGTTTGTAGACCTGAATATTATGAAATGGAGGCTCTAATAAAATCTGAGCTGCTTCAGTTGCATCTGTTTTCAGTCTTATGTGAGAAATGGAATCAAAGTACCTACTGTTGGATGCTGGAACATGTTAGCTGTCCAAAAGAAGAGTTTTGATAAAAGTTTATGATTACAGGAGAAAACTTTTTTGGTGAATGATACTCATTTTGCAGATTTACTGAAGAATGAGTGAACTTCCTCAAATTATATGTACATGTTTTGACAGTTTATGGATTTCAGGCAGAAATTCAGCCTTGGAAAAGTGAGGTTAAAAATGATTCACTAGTGATACTTACAACTGGAATGATATGAATCTTAAAGTATTAAGATTAATATAGCAGTATCTGTAAGATCGGACAAAAAGCTTTAGCATTATTTCAATAAACTTTATATGAACAGATGCAGTTAAGATTGGAAATCTGTTGGCACAATCAAAAGATCTACATTACACTTGACAGCAAAGGAGAAAGAATTGCTAGAGTTAACGAAGGATCAGATCCTTGAAGCACAAGTTAAAGATTCTGAATGATTCCTATTCTGGTTACTAACAAGAAAGGAGTTTCTATCTGGTAGGGGGGAAGGCAATAAATATACATTTACCACTTGCTGTAAGGTTGTAGCTTGCTGCTTGTGCAGTTTCTTGTTGAAGGTGACTTAAAAGAACTTGAAGATACTTTTTAAAAAAAAGTCTTTGTTATGAGTTATATTTAATGATACTCAGTCTGAAACCTAGTATGAAAAAGTTATGTTCGTAAGAACTAAAGTCTCTCATTTAGAAAACAGATTTTTTTTTTTTAAGGCTGGGCACGGTGGCTCACACCTGTAATCCTAGCACTTTGGGAGCCCAAGGTAAGCCAATCGCTTGAGCCCAGGAGTTGGAGACCAGCCTGGGGTGAGATGGTGAAACCCGTCTCTTTAAAAAATTAGCCAGGTGTGGTAGTGCGCACCACCTATGGTCCCAGCTACTCAGGAGGGTGAAGTATGAGGATTGTCTGATCCCAGGAAGTAAATGTTTGCAAAGGGCTGACTGTATACCACTACACCCACAGCAGTGAGACCCTGTCTCTAACAAAACAAAACAAAAATATGTTTTTCAAAGTATGCTAGGTTACAATCAAGCTATTTTTTTTAATATGTGCCTTTCTGTGAAATAGTAGGAGAAACAGTGAGAAAGACTGAATGCCAAGGCAAATAGCATTAACAAAATATATTTCAAGAAAATGAGATGACATCTCTACCATATAATAGGACAAGTTAAAAATAGGTTGATAAACAATGAATCATAATAGGATACAAATACCAGAGGACAGCAGGGGAAATTGTAGATTAATGTTAATACTTTTTCTTTATGTTATCATATTAATGCCAGCATGGAACATTTCCTGCTTTGTGTATACCTAGAACCTGAAATGTTGACCTTTGGCATTTAGGTGAAGTCTAATATGAAATTTAATAGCAGCCTTCTGTAGTAGGTGATTAGTGTACTTGCTCATCCTGATGCTGAATGAATGTTGGATGGCATTGCTTTTTTCTTGCATGGTTACACAGTTCTCTAGTTACACAGCTGTGTAATTTTTCCAGATTATTTTCAATATTAAGAGATCTCCAAGTCCTCTATTTCCTTGTATTAAACTTCTTAACTTTTAATACTGCATTACTTTACAGAAGCACAAGTAGAAAGATGCCTTAGTGATAAAAAGTTATTCTAGTGAATATCCACGTGGTAATTAATTTTTACACCATTTTTTCATAGCTGGATCTTATTGTGGTATTGATGGCTTTACATTTATTTATGAAAATGTTTTGCTGGATATTAAGTTTAAGATTGGCAGTCATTTTCTTTTTCTATTTTAAAGATAGTTTTCTGCCTTCCAACATTTTCATTGTCTTTCAAATTGTTTCTGTTTTTGAGGTAATATATTTTTGTCTTTTCTCTTAGAGGCAGTGTATCTCACTCAACTTTCTTTGGATGTTTTGCGATTTTTCCTTATATTTTCAGCAGTAAAACCAAAATTTACCTACTGTAAATTAAAAAAAAGAAAAAGAAAATTATCCTTATGTTTGTAGTGCTTCTTCAACCTGAGACCTGATGTTCTTTGTCAGTTGTAGAAAACCCTTGGTTAGTATCTATTTAAACTGTTAATGTCTAATTTAAACAGTTGTTCTGCCACAGTCTTTTTTCTTCTTGGATTCCTGTTAAAAAAGTTGCACTTTTCCCCATGCTGTTTTCTATGTTTTTCATCACTTTTTCCTCTGTACCAAACTGTATTTTCTTCTGGTCTTTTAGTTCACTAATATACCATTCTGCAGTGAAATTACTTTTTCAGGACTTCATTTTCTTACATTTTTCAATTTAGAATTTTCAGTTTTTAAAAGACCCAGTTTCTGGCAAATTTCTTGTTACCTATTTTCTTAAACATTTTAATTACTTGAAAGTCTTATCTGTCTTCAATATCTGGATAATTTGTATGTCTTTCTGCTGTTTTTGTCTTAGCTTTTAGCCATTTAATCCTGATGTCTGTAGTGTCTACTTATTTTGATTAAATGGTAGACATTGTGCATGAAAACCTATGGAAGCTATGGATGTTAGTTACTATGTCCATAAAGGATTGTTCTGATGATGTAGTGATAGTACATCTGGTGAAGGCTATTCTATTTCTGGTTTACCCTTATCATGAAGGCATAACCCTTTAAGGGGTCCTAATAGAAAGCCTGAAATCCATTTTTTTTCCTCCCAGCACTGTCAAACTACTGGATTTCTGGTTAGTTTTTTAGCCATTAAGCTACTGTTTTCTGCTTAGCATCTCCACTACACAGCTTAGGAACTGGCAAATGCCTTGAACAGAAAAGCTATGGAGAATGTCAGGTTCATTATAGTATGATCTTGGCTCCTCAGACAGCTACTTTGGTTGTTCTCCAGTGCTTTCCAATAGTTTTTGTTTTGTTTTGTTTTGTATAATGTTTTAAATTTTATCCAGCCAGGATGGTTAGTCCGATACAGGCAACTTTTTGGAATTGGAAGTTTCCAATTCCTATTTTCCATGATTACTTTTAAGACATTCTCAAAGCATGAAAAGATAGTGTTAAGCCTGTGCTCTGTGTATTTTGCTGTGGCCTCCTAACATTAGTGTGAGATAAAATCTTTGTTTAAAGCAGGAATAGAAGTAACATTTATTGAGCTCTAAAAACATGCAGGCCCCTAATAAATTTTATTAACATTTTCAAGTCTAGTTAGAAAGACATTTCCAAAAGAGATATAAATTGTTATCTAATATTGCACTTACATATCAAATGATTTATAATACTAAAGGAAGACAAGAACATTTGTTATACACAATTGTTCATTTAAACTCTAGAACAAGCATATGTATGAGGAGATGATGTTTCCATTTTAACAGGTGAAGAAAAATCGGTGAAGAAAAATTAGTTTAGAAAAATTTGAAAACATAGAATCACCTACAATCTCCTTAGACATAATTACTTAGAATATTTTTGGTCTAAGAACATTTCTAGTCTTTTTCCAGTGCATATAAAGCTTTTCAGATTAGCTGTGTGCAATTCTAGCAATTCAGCTTCAATTTTTGGGTAACTATATGTCTGATGTCTTTTACAATTGATTGAAAGTTCTTTACACTTTGAAAGACTGATAATATTTTAATAGTGCTGACATAAAATTTTCTAAAATATATACAACCGACCCTTTTTTGGTAATGATCTGGTACAGTGCAGAATTATTTCTCTAAATTAAGAATTACAATTTTATGTGAATTGTGAGTTTTTTAAAGTTGGTATAAATATTTTGCTATTTTCTATTAAGCTTCCTAATAATTTTCGTTTTTATTTTAAAGGCCAAACTGTTTTCAGATAGTAGTTCAGCACTTTAGTGAAGAACATTACATCTTTTACTTTGCAGGAGAAACTCCAGAACAAGCAGAGGTGAGATTACTGTTTCTTAAACTATTGTAAACTTTTGTGTTAGCCCATGTTTTATTAACTGGAATAGAAAACGACTGCATTCAAGATAAAGTGATAGAAAGAATGCCTGAAATCTAATCATCTCTTAAGGAATGAGACGTTTCATATGTAAAAAATGTTTTGCATAAATGCAGAAACAAACACAGTGAAGGGTTATTAGGAATGAAAACTCCATTTTAAATTGACCTTTGAGGCCAACTGAGAATGCTCATTAAAATACTCTGCGTAAAGGTTATAATCTCAGTACAATGCGAAGATAAGCCAGTTAGTTTTGCTAACAAGCATTAATTATTCTTCACTGGTTGAACTCTATGTCTGAAAATAAAAGTTCAGTCAACACAAAGAAAGATCTTTTTAGGAATCTTCCTTTCTACATGTTCTTCAAGCCAAGTCTAGATATAATGTCTACTTTAGCACTAGCTATTAATCCATGTGCAGTGTCCTTCTTATAGCTTGTATTGTTTTAAGTAATTCTGTGAAGAAATAATATTTAATAAACTGTTTAATAAAAAATATTTTCCAACAAAGGGAGACCCCAGCTCTACAACAAAAGTAAAAAATAAGCTGGGTGTTCTGACTTATAGGCAGGAAGATTACATGAGCACAGGAGTTTGAGTTACAGCAAGTAAGATCAAGACACTGTAATCCAGCCTAAGCAACAGACTGGGACACTGTCTCTTAAAATTTTTAAATTTTGCTTTCTTTGAACCGTAATATTACTGGAGTATATGGTTGTATTTTATACAAATATGGCTAAATTTCTGCTGATACTCAAAGGAATTTAAAGGTGGTTAAGAAGTGAAAGTGACTTTGTTGGAAATATAATTTTGCCAACCCTAGATATGAGGAACATGCCCTTAAAACTGGATCCTAGCATGAGACTCATAAATTTGAATAAGCCACTGTGTTTTGTGGCTCATATTAAATGTCATATTTCACATCTTTATAAACTATCTCATTTAAATGCTCATTTCACAGATAATGCACATAACATTTTTATGGCTATGTATCTCTAATCTTTAGATGAGAAAGGTAGGGCTCAAAACATTTTGGTAAGTTAGATGGTTTTTTAAAATGTTAGAAATTGAGTTAGGAATAGAAATTTAAACTTCAGTATCCTATTTTCTAGTCATTTTATCGTGGTCCCTCTTTCTGAATAAAAATGTCACATACCATAATGACATTTTAGCATGTTTTATAAGCCTTATAACATTTAAAAAATGTATTTATACATAATCTTTCTATATTCTATATTTCCATTAATGGCATTTCCAGTTTTTGTTGATTTGGTGAGCTGTGGGGGTCTCTGGTTATTCTCTTCTATTTCAAAAAGCTATGGTAACTGATTTGGTTTTAATTTGCTCTAATATAAAGACATTTTCTAAACATTGACAAAGTTCAGCTTCATTGAAATAGCCAACAAACTGAAAACATAATTGAATAAAGCAGTAGTACACAGCTTTCCAGAAACATGTAAAAACCAAAGTGAATATTTATATTTATTTTTAATAAACCTAAGTAGTTCTCTACTTTCTCCCAAAGCACTAGATAAACATTTAAAAAAAAACATGGCTGCAATTTGATTTGAATATTAGGCTGAAATAATTTTTTAAATCTAATGTTATATTTGAGAAGCTTAAAAAAAATAACCCAAGTCCTCTTATACATTTCTACTTGTATCATGGTCTAAAGTATAGATTAGCATCCTTGTCATCGAATCAGTCATCACAGTATCAGCTGGTTTTGCAATGAGCCATCTCCCCTTCTCACAAAATGTATCAAATTAAATTCCACCAAAGCTTGCCTCAAGTGTTAACAGCTTCATTAAACATAGACAGTTAATTTCCCCAAGGTAGTATGTGTTTGAGAGAAACAATTTCTTTAATGTAAATTTGATTTTTTGCCTAATTAATGGCCACTCATGGTGCATTTAATACATAAATTCAAACGAAGATTTATACAGAATTATAATTGTTTTGGTTATTGTTTTATTGGGGCATAAATAAAGTGCAGTATAGTCTGAGAACAGAAAAAGCAGTCTAAAGAAGGAAAGAATTGTTGAATTTGAAAAAACTGATTGATGATTTGGAAACCAAATAAACTAGTGTATATTTCTTTGAAATGATGTTTTTCTTTGTAGGATTGGATGAAAGCTCTGCAGGCATTTTGCAGTTTACGGAAAAGTAGTCCAGGGACATCCAATAAACGCCTTCGTCAGGTGAAGCTTAATTTTCTTTGATTTGTAGTTGTCACATTTTGCTTTAACATTTTGCCCTTTATGTTTTATTTTTATGTGAACTGTTTTGGGCATCATATCTTATGAGGGGTTAAGCTGCCACTTGCTTCAGTAGCAGGAAAACGTTACTTCTTTATGAAAGAGAATGTTTAGTCCATAATGCCAACTGTTAAAAACATAAGAAAGATTATTTATTCTTCCACTTAAAATAATAATACTATACCACCATAACAGAAACTGTTCTGTTGGGCATTTAATTTTCCTTCAAAAAATTATTTTGGCTTCTTTCAGAAAAGTAGAACATTGAAAAGATCATCAGATTTACAGTACTAATCCCAATAAACTTTTTTGGGATTTTCATTCTGAAGAACAGCTTTTGAAATGTACCGCTTAACTCTTAGGAGATATTTAATCTTATTTGAAACCATAACATGCCTATTACTTTCATTTGTGAAGAGTAGGCTTTCTCTTTTTTGCCTGTAGAAGGGTAACTTTATAACCTCCATTTATTGGCTTTTTTCTTTATAGTAATCCCTGTATAATTGGAAGAAGTTAGGCAAATTTTGACATACTTGAGGTTTTTAAAGAAAGTTTGGTACAATACTTATTTACTGACCAAAGTGTCGTCTGTTTTCTTCATGTGACTATCTGATAAGCTGAGTGATTAATATACTGTTCTACTGGGAGTGGATAATGGTTGATATTTAGTGACTAAATAGTCCCTGTAACCCAAAGTCTGGCTGTTGCCCAAGGAAATTTAAATATACACACAATCACCATGTGTTCATAACATTGTAACATTTGTAAGCTATAAAAAATCAGATTGGATTTTCGCAAATAAGAGCAAGTTGTATTTTGTATGAAACTTGAGCCATTAAATTGACATATGCAGGTATAATATAATCATAGCTAACATCTCTCAAGCACTTTTTATGTATCAGTAGACAGTGAGATTCAGTAATCTACATATACAGTTGACCCCCCCATTCATGGGTTCTGCATCAGTGGAATCTACCAATCGTGGGTCAAAAATATTCAGAAAAAAATACAATAAAAATATAGTATCACAATGATGCTGTTCATCGTATTAGGTATTACAAGTAATCTAGAGACGATTTAAAGCATATAGGAGGGTGTGCAGAGATTTTATGCAGGTACTATGTTATTTTCTATAAGGGACTTGAGCATCCTTGGGCTTTGTTATCTGCCAGGACAGAGAAGGGGAGGGGTTGGGATCAGTCCCGCAGATACTGAGGGACAACTAGTTTGTAATCCTTATGAAAATCTGTAGTGTAGACTTTCTACTTACATATTAGAAAAATGAGGCTTACAGGGACTGATTTGTCCAAGGCCACACAAGTAGTACATGGCAAGAGAGAAAGAGGACCTAGTGGGGTATAGCTCAGTGGTAGAGCATTTGACTGCAGCAGAGAAAGAGGACCTGACAGTAGAAGGGAGATGATCTAAACTGACAAATGACTTAGTATTTTTTATATTTGTATCCTTTCCTATAAAATAAGAAGGCAGAGTCAGTGTTTTAAAAAGTTTTAGCCATGGAACTCTATTTTATAGAAATAAAATCTTCTAGATAAGCATTATATAACATGCAGGGTTTTGATTTGAGTAGTGACAGTTGTTTACTTACATGAATAAAGAATTTTCCTCTCGACTTTTTCTCTGTATCATTGTTTTATGGTAGAAAAGGTGTATTTCTCCAAGAAGATAATGGTAGAAATAACTTGTAAAATAAAATTGCATTGTTTTATCTTCTTAGGTGGGAAGAATTATTTTAAATATTTTAATGTTTTAAGTACGTCATATAAAAAGGAAAAATAAAACCAAAGCTCATATTTTCTGAAAAAAAGGTGGAAAATAAGTCACTATATTGGGCTTTTTTATCTTATGAGTAATTGCTTTTGAAACTTAATGCAATTCTAGAAATCTGGGGTAATAATTTTTGTTGTTGTTGTTGTTGTTTTTTTTTTTTTTTTTTTTTTTTTTTTTTTTTTAGGTCAGCAGCCTTGTTTTACATATTGAAGAAGCCCATAAACTTCCAGTAAAACATTTTACTAATCCATATTGTAACATCTACCTGAATAGTGTCCAAGTAGCAAAAACTCATGCAAGGGAAGGGCAAAACCCAGTATGGTCAGAAGAGTTTGTCTTTGAGTAAGTCTTATTTTATCATTAATCATTTTCTTTTGTGATATTTCCTTTCTTTCCATTCTTTTGGTCTCTGTATCTAAACCATCAGAACAAGGTACCACATCCAGGTGTTTTAACAGCACACACACACACACACACACACACACACACACACGTGTATATATATATATATATTTTGTTTTATATGTTCACCTTTATTTGTGAAGTGCTGTGCCCTTGGTTTTTCCACCTAGTTATTTACATGAATTAGCAAGTCAAAAAACAAAATGTTTAGTAGGGTTTCCAGTACTTATTTGAATGAATTATTTAGGAGGTTAAAGATGGTAGGTAAAGTATATAATTTGCTTGTCTTCTGTAAACCAAATAATACAATATGTTGTGAAATAAGAGTAGCACACTCACTTTTTTTTTTAAGCTGAAATAGGGGGCTTATTTGATATTAGAACTAAAGGAATAAAGTAGTTTGATGTTAAAACATTTTCTTAACTCTTTTTCTCCTTGTTCCTTTAGTGATCTTCCTCCTGACATCAATAGATTTGAAATAACTCTTAGTAATAAAACAAAGAAAAGCAAAGATCCTGATATCTGTAAGTTGATACAGAAACTCTTTCTAAAGTAGAAAAAGCATGTTTTATATACTTTTAAAATTCGCAATGAAATAGTCTTAAAAATTAAAACAAATACAAGTAGTATAATTTGAGATAGTTTCTTTCTGTACTTCTTAAAGTATTGATTATTGAGAAAGAATATACCTAAGAAAGAAAAACACCAACCTGATTCAACTGTACAGTTAAGTACTTTAAAATATCTAGCCACTGTCCTTTCTCCAATGAATAGGAAGAATAAGGAAATGATTACAGTGATCTTTTTGAACGGTTTACCCTCATCTCTTCTTTCTACTTTTTATATTTTTCCTGTTTTCTTTCTTTTGAGATGGAGTCTCACCCTTACCACCCAGGCTGGAGTGCAGTGGCAGGAACTTGGCTCACTGCAACCTCTGCCTCCCATGTTCAAGTGATTCTCCTGCCTCAGCCTCCTGAGTAGGTGGGATCACAGGCGCCTGCCACGATGCCCAGCTAATTTTTGTACTTTTAGTAGAGATGGGGTTTCACCATGTTGGGCAGGCTGGTATCGAACTCCTGACCTCAGGTGATCCACCCACCTCAGCCTCCCAAAGTGCTGGGATTACATTAGCATATAAATAAAAAAGAATTCTATTTAAAAATTACCCTTAACCTCGAATATGTCATTTATTCACTTCTGGTAGTCAAAGGCTCTCAGTTCCTGTTCTTAGCAGCACAGCTCTTTCCATCCTGCTACTAAAACAGTTGGCAGTGGGATTTACCATTCACATCAGGGTGAATTAGGTTAATGCCTTCTTAAAACTCAGGCTTAGGGAAAGAAGTGATATGTATTAACAGACAGATCAAAGCCTGAATATTTCTCTATAAAATGTTTATTCTGTAATTTTTTTTTGTACTAATTTTAGTTTTCCCTTTTACGATAAAATCCAACCCCCACAGTAATGACACAGAAGGAAGGCCATGCCTTATATTTAAAGTGCTCTTTTTTCACTACTTTTCTTCTTAGATATACCTCCAGATCTTGGCAGCTTAAGGGTTACCTGTTTAAAATGGAGCTTTCACCTCCACAGGCTGAATTAGATATGATTTCTCTGTACTCCAATAGCATTCACCACTGTTAACAGCACTTGTCAATGTTCACATGACTGATTTCTTGCCATCTTGAATAAACTGACTGCTGTGTAACTCAAAGACCACATCTCAATCCTCTCTATACTTCTCCCACCTATCAGAGTTTAGCGTATGGTACATTCAGTAAATAAATGAAGCAGTTAAATACTGAACTTGTGATGTTACTGAAAACTCCTTTAATGAAAAGCATTTAACACCATTGAGAAGACTGAACAACAGGAAAATTTACTTGCATGACTAATTATCGTGTTATCTTTTTAGACAATAATTGCTTGTTTTTCTTCCCAAGTATTTATGCGTTGCCAGTTGAGCCGATTACAGAAAGGCCATGCCACAGATGAATGGTTTCTGCTCAGCTCCCATATACCATTAAAAGGTATTGAACCAGGGTCCCTGCGTGTTCGAGCACGATACTCTATGGAAAAAATCATGCCAGAAGAAGAGTACAGTGAATTTAAGGAGGTATTATTTGTCTAATTATTTTTGTTAGAATTAACATAAACATTTAATAAAAGATCCATTAAGCTAGACAGAGTAATTCATAGCTTAGTGGCACAGTGACGCCAGAGAAGATTAAAAACCTTGTATTATAGTGTGATTTTGATTAGACTAGAAATAGGTAGACTCTGAATTCATTCTAATTATAAGAACTTATGAAAGAAAGAATGCTTAATGCTGTGTACTTTAAACCATCTTTTAAAATGTCATTTTAGCTTATACTGCAGAAGGAACTTCATGTAGTCTATGCTTTATCACATGTATGTGGACAAGACCGAACACTACTGGCCAGCATCCTACTGAGGATTTTTCTTCATGAAAAGCTTGAATCGTTGTTGTTGTGCACACTAAATGACAGAGAAATAAGCATGGAAGGTACAGTATGGCTATGTATAGTATGGCTATGATACTTTAAGAAACTGGGTTTAGACTTTGTATCACGCATATATAGACTCTATCTCTGAATATACTAAATTGTTAAATTATATTGCAAATTGTTAATCTGATTTCCCTTATTAAAAATTGGAGTTGGATGTTCTGATTATGTCAGTTACTTTGGGGAGCTAATATTTCTAATGGAGGTTTTGGCAGATAAGTACTAGAAGCCCCAAGAAAAGTGGTATCTGTGTCCACATCAATGGCTCATAGTGCTTGACTATCAAGAAAAGTCTGGCATACTTAACTATATTCTCTTAATTTTTACTTCATTGCACAGAAGTTGGGTGTCACCTGTATTTTATTTCTAGCTTTTATAGATGGGTAGTTCCCAAGCTGATGGACGCACAGTGTTTTTAATGACTTACAAATACGTTGAAATAATTACCCTCTCCCTGCCCCTCCAGCCAAGCACTTTGATTCAGTAACAGTTCTTGCTTCTAGATTCCCCAAATAAATAGTAAAGTTTAGAACTATTTCCTCCTCATTATAAAAATTATAAAGGTATATAATTTGTCAAGGAATAGATAAAACTGTGATCCTTATTTTACCTTGAGTTTATCTTTTCTGACAGCATTTGTATTTTATTAAAATTTTACTGAAACTCATCAGACATGTTTTAGGCTAATTAATCTATATTGAGATTTTGTGTTATATTTGTAATCCTAAATAAATCCCCAAATTTCAAAGCCTGGGGTCATTGGACAGCGCAGCTGACTTATGGTCCTAATTTTGTCACTAGCTGTCTAATTGATCTTAGACAAGCCATATAACCATTCTGAGTCTTCATTTTTCAGTATAAACATGCAGTGTTAATCCCTTCTCCTGTTTATGATATAAAGAGGTAATACATCTGAAAGTCTTACAGAGTTAACTTGTAGAAGTATAGGATGTCATTGTAATTAGTACTTCAATGTTGCGTGCAAAAGGTACATTTAAAAGGCTATTCCTGTTGAGGTAAAATGAATTCACTTAATTTCCAATTTGGTCACATTGAGTCCTTAACGAATAATCTTCTAATGTAAATATTTGTGTAGATGAAGCCACTACCCTATTTCGAGCCACAACACTTGCAAGCACCTTGATGGAGCAGTATATGAAAGCCACTGCTACACAGTTTGTTCATCATGCTTTGAAAGACTCTATTTTAAAGATAATGGAAAGCAAGCAGTCTTGTGAGGTAAGAATTTAATTAAGAAGTATTTTTGCAAACACCTGTTTGCAAAACACCTGTGTGCAAAAATACATTACATTTTAAGGAAAATATGTTAGATTTCTAAAATTATTCCTCATAGCAGTTATACCCTTTTGTAATACATTTATTACAATGTTTTGCAAAATGAACTTTGGAAATACTTGGTCATTTCTTCTGCTGTACTAATGACAAACTATATATTACTTACAGAAAGTGTGCATACATAAACTGAAGGCTTTGCTAGTGACTCATCTCATAACCTATGTAGCACTTCATAACATCTAGTTTTGTCCTTGAAGGTTTTTTTTGTGAGAGGAGAATTGAGATAACCTCAACAAAAGCAAATAGAAAACACCTTTTAGGATTGTTAAAGCTTAAGTACAAATTCATAATAAACTATTAAGATAGTAAGCGGAATCTCACACATATATTCTTTCATTTTAATGGTTAAGTGACTACATATTTTGGATTTGACATAAAAATCAATAAAATTAGGAATTGTTTCTCACAGTGGACACTGGGACCTAGCAACTGTTAATCCTGCACAAAGATGTCAATTTGTACTAATAACTTGAAGGGAAGAAATTAGTGATTTAATGTTGGAAATCTGGAGTAGTGCCATAGTTAGCCTAACATAAGGATGACACAGAAATTCAGCAAGTAGGTAGGAAGTCTCCAGACTTTAGAGACAGGCAACAGAATTTGGACTTCCATAGATAAATCTACTCTGCTGACACTAGATCAGAAGGGTTACAGGAAGAGTCCTGACAAAGGTTTGTGATTCTGCCTAAGACATTTGATATTTTTATTAGCCATTAAATAAGTCTCATTCAGAAAAGGCTTTTAATTGGCTTCCCCCCCCAAATAAACATAATTGACTAATTACTGTTTGCTTTTCAGTTGGGTAATTGGGAATAAATGGTAACAAATCTACCAGAAGGAGTTCCATAGAGCAAACTACTTACAAACTCCCACTTATACAAAGAAATAAGATGAATACACACTGAGATACTGAAAAACACAACCTTGAAAACTACAACTACTTGTTTACCTCAATTCATTTGCATTTGTCATTGCCAAGATGCATTTATATTGATTTATTCCTTATCTTAGTTAAGTCCATCAAAGTTGGAAAAAAATGAAGACGTGAACACTAATTTAGCACACCTATTGAACATACTTTCAGAGCTTGTGGAGAAAATATTCATGGCTTCAGAAATACTTCCGCCGTAAGTGGTGAAATTTTCATTTGACAAGAAATTGTGTATGTCTTGAAATATTTAAATTTCTAATACATGTGAAAGCTTTTCTGTTGTCCTGTTATTATACTCTGAAAAAGTCATGGTTAATCTTTATAAGATAAATTGTATTTAAAGAAAAGAACTGCCTTAAAGATCCCAGAGTGAAATATTTACATTAAATTAAACCACTGTTTTTGTACAAGCCAATATGTCTGGTTTGTATAGTAGCTTGGTTAGTGAATAGAGGTTTATAGTTCAGATTTGAGATTATAAGACATCTTGTTTATCTATTTGTCTATATTTGATAGGCTAATCACTCTGTTAATATGCTTTTAGGCCTCCAGTATTAGTAAACTCACTTGTTCAGGTAGAAGTTAAGTCTAAATATTTCTCCTCAGAATTTGCAGCTGGTTACTTCTCTATATCTGAAAGCAAAT